ACCACGTGATTCCATTTTGAGTCTAGGGTGATAAGCTGTATTTTCCATGGAAATGGAAAGGTTCCATAGTCCATAAATATGTTAAACAGTTGTAAACAAAATAATGGCAATTATCCGCTATCATATTTCACAAATGATGAAGGAATCTCATCAGCACACTTTCACAGTTAGTGGATATGAAATCGACTCTGGACAGATGTCTGGATATTAAAATTGAAAATGTATCAAGAGATGTTTCGATTCCAGTGTTGTAGCGTTGCGAGAAATGCTAGCTGAATTTTTCACAAATAGTATCCGTCAACTATGAAAAATTTGGTTGTGCCATAGGGAATTTGCTTTCACACGGGATTCGAGTAGCCAAAACATTGATAACTCTGAGCTTAGTTTATTCTTCATAGTCATAGAATACTTGCGTTTAGATTAATCATTTCTGTCGTTCAAGTTAAGCATACTCTGAGGCGCACACACGTGTTGCAGTTTTCTTAGCTTTCTCTTAAAGGTTTTGAAAGTATTTTGGCCCCTATTGGCATTATAAGCCACACGGCTGATATCTGGGGCAGTGTCATCAAGGTAAAATATCAGGTTATGGCATATGTCGGAAAGCTCAGTGTCAATATTATTTGTGATGAAATAAGGTTTCCATGGTAAGCATGAAATAAGAGTTTCAGTGCGCTTCCATGTTTGTTGATCAAACTGCCAGCTCTGGTTTGTTTTTGCGGCCTCGTAGTTTATTTGTATCGTGTTTATATAATAGATAATACTCAGTAGGACTCTATAATCACACATAACAAATTCACGACTTACGTGCACTGAGATATAGTCCGTGTTGATTGTAAATAATAAATCACGTATATTATTCTCCCTAGTCGGCTTTTGGACTTGTTGGACACACCCACAAATTTCTAATGTTTCAACTAACTTGTTACACAAACCTGGTACAGAAGTCAGACTCCATATAATGTTCGGCAGATTAAAATAAACTCTGGTAAATTTAAACGTATGCAGTTCGTGCGAAGCAATGAAAATATGTTTTTAGCAATTTGTCAATCTGCATAATGTGGTCTGCATATACACCCCACCAATAGATAATTTTGCGATCTACAATATATGGTAACCCAAGTGGAGTCATCTATAGCAGCAAGACATTCATTCTCAAATTCACACGTCTGAATGTCCGAACGTACATAGAGAATTGTACCACCTCCCATTACATGACGTCGATCGGTTGGAAAGAAAACATAGTTATTCACGTGTAAAGAGCAATCAGACACGGATTATTTGCACCACGTTTCCGTTATAAGTGAAAGGGTTTGATTTATAAGGAAGTAAAGGGGTTTAATGTGAGTAATTTTATTGGACAGAGAGCCGGCATTAAACGAAAGAATAAGAAAATGAGAGGTATTATGATGAAGCAGGCTTGAGTATAGATCGCAAGCTGTAGTCCTACGAATACTCATAGGATTATCTATGGTAAGAACTATGTTGTGAGAAGGAATGTATCCAACAAATTTGTCACCACTTGTAACAAGTTTACCGTTGCCAGCTGAAAAGTCGGCGGAATCACACGAGACGTCTCCTGATTGCCATTAATTATAACATCTGATGGAGTCATAGAGTACATGTAAGAAGCCGGACCAAAAAGGATATCAGATCTGTATGCGATTAAGTGGCCGTTTACAATTCGGATTACTTTTTATACCTGGTGTATGTGCAACATGTCCCATACGTTTATTTCCAAGGTTTGAGGTTTGTTTTAGCTCCTTCGTAATTTGTGAAGAACTGAGTGTGGTTAGACATACTTGAGATGGTTTACAAAGTTCGAATATATCAATGTTCAGTATGTGGTCAGTTATTTAATTATCGCAACTATTTCACCCGTTAGCTGTTGTAAAGTTACCGACACTGGGTGTTGCACAAACATGGTCTTGAACTATATTGCCTGATTCGTTATCAGCACGACTACTTATGGTTATATCTAAATAAGCATTTTTAGGAGAATGAACACCACCGACAAAGGGTTGCTAAATTCTGGGTTCTGAGCTTTAAGAGATTCAGGAGTGTTTATCAGTAGTGACACATTTGTAAAGTCAAAGATCCTCCTAAAATTGAACCTTGGGGTCATGATGAGTTTAGGAGTTTGACGCTAGTGGTTTGCAACTATCTCTTCCTGCTTTTCCATGGCGTGATGTTCTATCTCAAAGAATCCTAATATTCTTGAAAATCTCTTTTTACCTCATCGTATTGGAGAAAGTCAGAAACTCGCCAGCGTTCGCAGATGAGTTGAATTTGGACAGGATTGATGAGTGCATATCAGGGTGAATTCTTCTTAATCTTATGCACACACACTGTACATGTGTCATATTGATGGCCCCAAGCACATATGACTTGATATTTTTAAGGGCATATGTGTCCGAGATATTAAACAAAATTTCATCGCTAGATCGTCTTGTTCTTGAAACACGTCTGAAGCAACACGATCTGGGGAATCAGTCGTGTCATTCATCCGATCTGGAATCTCTGAAAGGTTGAGTTTGATGAGATACTTGAGCGGATTGGGAATTTTCATGTCAAATTTCAGCTTTCTTATATCGTTCATATAGTTGCAGCTGTGAATATCATCACTGTTTACCAACAGAGTCTTCAACATGTCTGGAATGGAGACAACTGGTATAAGCTTGTCTGCTTCCGGATGAACGGAGTAGCTCGTCTCGTTGAAACTGTCAGAAATCGTGTCAGTAATGGTGTTAGATCGTGTCATTTTCTCTAAGTTTGGCTAGCAGGGGTTTCCAATTATTTTTAAGGCATGATAAGAAAGTGATAAGTAGCAGATGGGTTGGACAAAGTGATAGAGATAGAAACGGGTGAAAAAATCAGTGTTGAGGGCTTAAGATAGTTTGTAAATCAAAATCTGTGTTTGAAGTAAGAGTGAATTTATCGTGGGGATTGGTGAAGATGACAAAAATAACAGGGGAAAATTTCAGGAAGATTATAGTAAGGTAAAATAGAATATGTATGCACATCGGATAAATTTTAACGTGTAGATTACACGGAATGGTAGACTCATATAATAAAGTAATCCAGAACTGTCGATAATAAGTATGAAACAACCAAAGTGGTTACGGTACGTGGTACATGTATAAACAATGCCTGGAACATTTAAAATTGGGAGGTGCAGAGATAAGTAGTTTTAAAGATTATTACCATCCAGAATTATTATGATGCTTGATGACCAAATATATGAAATAGCTTTTTAGGTAAAAAAAAAAGACCAAAAACTGTAACAGACTCTTTGAATTGGACAGAGAATTCAAGAAATTTATTGAGTTATAGCATCCAAATACGATTTAAAAGATAGTATATAAAAATGTATGAAACTCTCAGAGAATAGTGCTTCACCATACATAATTATATGTTAGAAAAAGGTCTGAATAGATCCTGTACATAAGTAAAGTATGTAGGTTATAGTATCCAAACACCAAATAAGGGATGATATACAAATATGGAAAGCAATTATTCGTCATACATAATTATATATGGTTTAAAAGTGACAGAATGTGGTTCTGCCGAATAGTCAAAATGAATACGTATATAAATATGAATTATTATATGAATATGACCAAATATACCATGTGCTAAACTGAGATCTTATCGTAGAGTATGGAATTTACAGTTCATGTGTAGATGATTCAAAATGGAGTACTCTTTCGTAATTCCGAGGGAAGATAATCTATTCAGGAAAAGAAAACTGAAAGTAGCGTCCAGCTCGTAGCGCGCGGTTCTGCATACTATTCTTCTTTTAAATACTAGTTAACGGAAAATATATTTATTATTTCAGTTTTAGCCTCGCCTTAGGGAGCTTGTCAACATTTTCTAAAAAATAGCGAAGTGCGAAATCTTCAAAGGCCTTATGATAGTGTCCTACTGCAGTATATCTATATGAACAGCTCTCAGTGATTATGTGTGTGTGAGCACAAAATTACAAAACACCTTAGTTTGACAGAGTTTGACAACACTATCATCCGTAACAACTTAATTATTACGGATCCTTAGTCTAGAATGTTATGGCCAATGGGCCGTCAACTATCACGTGACAAAACTGACAGTCGGAATACTGACTTCTATGGCTTAGCCCCAGTGCTTAGTTTGTCAGTCAGCACTAGCAACCTTGACTTAACTTTGAACCCTTATTGGCCCTCCGTATAGTCGTTTCTCGCCTGGCTCATCTCGTTCAGTCCAGAACACAAGTATCACTTTCATCTATGTGAATGAACTTATTCCAGACATGCGTGGTTAATATACAAGCAGACCAGAACGCATCACTTCTTGGAACGAGAAATAATAATCATACGAGGTCAAGCCAAAACTGGTTATGAGTATAGGAGAATAACTAATAGATTGTGAATATATTAAGAACCGTAAATCGTATAACAGTAGTCAATCGGTCAAATGAAAACTTATGCTAAGTGGAACATAAATATATATGATCTAATTACTTAGTAATTATACGATAAGAATATGTATATTGTCACAGTCTATAAATAATTCTTGGAAGCAACCACTCACTTATTCTTCGTTCATACATAAAAAATTCAAACCAAAGTCAGGGATGAAGAGGGTTAGACGATATAGTTGCAAGATGGTTGATACGTCAAAAAGTATGTGGTACAAGCTGGCTAGTTGAAAGGACTGCATAGCTATAGCGTACACAGTTTAGTCTGATGTATTTTATTGATCGAGCTCTTTCAGATAGAGCGTAATGAATGAAACTAATGGCCTTGGATTCAATGTCAAAGACCTGCAGAAATATTTGTTTTGGGGATTCATCTACATACTGAACATGTTGCGGAAGCTTTGTTCTCAAGGTCGAGGTGTGTAACAAGTCAGTTGGTGGTGTTTGCTGTCCGTGTCTAACTTCACTAATGTTGAAACATGTTTGCAATTTTTTGATAGGTTTGTTAATCTCATCATTTGGTGCCAGCATCTGGTTTTCAAAGACATCGATGTATTCTGTAGCTCTAATTACTTGTCCGAATTCCACAGTCGCGGAGACTATTGCAGATACTTTAGTTAATAGAAAACTGGCAGCTTGTGTCAATATCATACCCTCAATTAAGTCTGTTTACGTTTGGGAAGGGAAGGTGGAAAAGTCAGATGAACTTCTTCTAATGGCGAAAACTCAATCAAAGTTGGTTCCTTCTCTGACGGAGGTTGTCAAAGAAATCCACCCTTATGAATGCCCGGAAATCATTAGCTTAAACATTGAGGGGGGTTACCCACCATACCTTAAATGGATTATGGATTCCACATCTTAGTAGTAAAATTGGCATTGTACACCTAAATAATAAATACTTTTCATATTCTATTCCTTCTGTAAAGTTTTACCTCTTAGTATAAAAGAATTTTTTAGATATGGGTTCTGCTGCTTCTCACCAAACCCGAGATGTGACTTTCCACCCCGACGATATTGTAGTAAGTTATTCTGTTACATCATAAGTCTGTAAGATTAGCGAAGATGTAATAAAGCGAATCAAAAATGCTGCTACCACCGAGGATAATACGAAAGGTTGGTACATCGTTTGTTAGCTCTAGCTTTGAGATGACGTTCGTGCCCCAGAATCGTTCAAACCGCAGTATAGCCTAGGTTTAAAACATGAACTAGAAGAGGCAGAAAGAAGATACGAAAAGCTCCTGCAACTATTAGAAAAACGCGTACGTTTCTGTTTTACATTAAGCAATGTAATTCATTGTGTTTTCCTTTCTATTTTGTCTTGAAGTAGACAATAGGGTATTCGAACTTTTTCTACAAGTCTTTTCACTTATGCGAACATTTCAACATATATTGTACCACAAGAGACTAATTGATGTATCATTTCATATTGCTTATGTTTCTTACGTGCATCTGAGTAATCTGCCTTGTAAGTCAATCCTTAGGAATATCTTATTACGAATATTACGTGCTCTTAGTTCTTTAATACAAACGATTAGATCGAAAGTTTAGGAAAAATAATCCGCATTATTCTTTACTTAGGATATGATGTACGCTTTCCTCCCTTCTTATGGTAACTGTGTAGTGTCCCTATTCCTTTCATTCGCTAAGCGGTTCTTACCTAATCTGAATTTATTTTAATGTTATGCAATTATTCGTGATAACGCTTTGTTTTTTTACGCCACCATATCTATTAGTTCTAGTATTTACCTGATTGATAACAATTTAGTAATCTTTGAGTTTTAACAAAGCAGCGGGGAGGGGAATTTCCACCGTGTACTCTGCACTTGTGGTTGAAAAACGACTACTACATCTAATATATTTTAACGAACAAGATGCTTTAGGTGGCTAACCGCTTTACTTACCTAATTGGTTATATCGTCTGATGGTGACCAATGAGACTTAATACATACACTCAAGTTCACATTCACATACCTCTATCATTCATTAAGCCTGTGAGATTTCTGTCTCCAGTCTAGTAAACATTTCACCAACGTCTTGTTTCCAGTAATAAAAGTAAAGTATTACTGTCAAAACAGTAAGCAAGACTTTCAGCAGTTTAATTTATGTCATTTTTACTTCGTTCTTCTAGCCTATTAAGATGATAGAGACTTTACTTTCTCAAAACGGAGTCTTTTCTGTATTGCTCCATGGCTGTGAAAATGGGGTATACTGGTTCAAAATATGGGAAGATTGCTAGTGTTTATAAGCATAACTGAAGTATGGTAGAGCCAGCAAGGTAGTTATTCTGCGGATGGACTTCGTGTTCTATTTGGAAATAATTAATCTACTATTGACAATATATCAATCTTCATCAACTCTTGGGTATATCTTGCACATACCTAGCAATAGCCTACTCTGATGGCGAGAACAGTCAGTTGTGGGTTTGCGAAACGTCCCGCTTATAAGCACTGGGTTTCTTCTGGTTCCTTACAACTTATTGAAGCCCGTCGGTCTACTCCGGGTGACCGTGAGTTTGACCATAAACGAAGGATGTTACGTAAGGAAATTGGGCAAAGCTTGCGTAAGGACCGAGAAGCCTGGTGGTCGGAGCGTGCTAATGAGCTGGAAGCAGTAGATGCATCTGGTAACTACCGGAAGCTCTTCCACTGGCAGCAAGAAGTCTGGTGTGAGTGAAACAATCTGCGAGGATGATGGGATGCCAATCACTAACATCCATCGACGTCTTGGACGATGAGCAGAATTTTTCGAAGGGCAGTTCAACTGGCCTGCTGCTCCGGCAACATCGGTCAGACTGTCCTGTCCTCCATGGCCGGTGACGACTGGTCCACCAAACGTGGAGGAAGTCCGCAAGGAACTCCAACTCTTGAAGCGTTACAAATCACTTGGCCCAGATGACTTACCTCCGGCTCTTTTTAAAGATGGTGGTGACTTTTTGACTAAGGAATTGACGACGTTGTTTACAAAGGTTTGGGAATTAGAGAGTGTACCAACGTCATGGAATGAGTCGATAGTTGTTCCTATCTTTAAAAAGGGTTCACGTCGTTCCTGCAACAACTATCGGGGGATAAGTCTACTTCCGATTGGGTCCAAGCTATTGGCTTCCGTCATACTTCGTAGGTTGTTCCAAACCCGAGAAAGATTGACTCGCGAGGAGCAGGCTGGGTTTCGTTCTGGTCGAGGATGTATTGATCATATCTTCATCCTCCGCCAAATGTTAGAACATCGCCATACTTATCAAAGGCCAACAATCGTAGTGTTTCTTGACATCAGGGCTGCCTTCGATTCGTTGGGCAGGACTGTTCTCTGGGATTGTCTATTGAAGAAGGGTGTGCCTGAGAAGTTTATTAACATCCTAAAAGCCCTATATAAAAACACCTCAGGCAGAGTGAGGGCATACAACCACCTTTCTGCATTGTTCCATTCACGAAGCAGGGTTAAACAGGGTTGCCTAATCTCACCATTCCTCTTCAAATTTGCCATCGATGACATTCTGAAAACAGCTTTGATGAATGTAAGTAATGGTGGTGTGGATCTGTTGCCTAGAGAAAGACTTCTCGACCTTGAGTATGCGGACAATATTGTCTTACTGTGCGATAATGCCCAAGGCATGCAATCCACACTTAATCATTTGGCAATCAGTGTCCGTAGGTATGGTATGTACTTTGCACCTTCGAAGTGCAAAGTACTTCTACAAGACTGGCAGGATTCCAATCCTGTACTCACCCTGGATGGTGAGCAGATAGAAGTAGTCGAGAAGTTCGTGTATCTAGGTAGCTGCATAAGTGCTGGTGGTGGCTTGAGTGATGAGATCAATGCACGTATAATGAAAGCCAGAGTGGCTTATGCCAATCTGGGCCATCTTTGGCGCCTTCGTGATGTTAGTCTGGCTGTAAAAGGTCGGGTCTACAACGCGTCGGTGAGAGCAGTTTTGCTCTATGCTTGTGAAACCTGGCCTCTCCGAGTTGAGGACGTTAGACGAGTCTCTGTGTTCGATCATCGCTGTCTCCGAAGGATTGCTGACATTCAGTTGCAACACCATGTTATTAATGCAGAGGTTCGGCATCGTGTGTTCGGGCACAGAGATGATAATTCAATTGGTGTCACCATCTTGAAACACCGACTTCGGTGGCTCGGACATGTTCTACGAATGTCGTCCCAGAGAATTCCACGTCGTGCATTATTTGCCGACGCTGGGACTGGTTGGTAAAAGCGGAGAGGTGATCAGTGTATGACATGGTGTCGTGGTATGAAAGAAAGCTGCAAAGGACTGGCTTCTGACGGTCCTTCACGACTCCCTGGTTGGGGTCCGAGAGATGGTGCTACACAGTGGCTAGAGACGTTATCAGATATGGCTCAGAATAGAAGCCAGTGGCGATCCTGCTGTAACCTTCTTTTACTTTCTTCATAAAAAGTGGTTGTGTCTCCCTTACTTGAAAGATTTCTTCTGATTGTACCTTTCCGTTCCCTCGTTACTACCTTACACCAATCTCTTCGTTATCGTTCTCTTTTTCCTTTGTGCTCCTTAGTTTTTTTTATCTCTCTTCGAATTTTCATTGTTTTGTGTGGCGCATATATATTGTACCAATATTTATGTGTTCAAATAAATAAACTCTGATGCTTAGTTCTGGTCGGCATGAGAGTAAGTTGGAATTAGGTTAGGGTTGATCATTCGAAAACATTTTGTCAGTTCATGTAGAAATTAACTGTTAGGCTGAGCCATATCAAGGGATTTGTATTTCATGACTAAATATTACTCAAAAGTCCCAATCTACAGTCGGAGACATTGGGTGGCATGACCCGAAATCTATTTTCTTGTTACAGTTAGATTCATTTTTTGTCTTCCTCAAAATTATGAGTTTAATGTCATATCGTACTTTTCATCCTTCGATTTAATCGTTCCTTCCGAACCATGTTTTTTACTTTTATATTTCCATTCTAATGATTGTTGCTGCCACTCCTCTTCTGCTTTTCACCTTGTGAATTCCTCGTCCTCATGAGGTGTGGCAACTGGAATTGATGTCAACATAGTACATGTAGTGTCAAGTCACTCCTACTAGTGGACACATTGCAATTTAATCGATAGAATTCGACCAGCACTAAAAAGTACTTATTTACTTACGCCTGTTATCCCTTGTGGAAGAACATAGGCTGCCCACTAGCATTCACCATCGAACTACGTCCTGGACAATCTTTTCCAGTTGCTATATTCTCTTTTGATGTCTGCCTCAAATTCCCGACGCGATATGTTCTTTGGCCTTCCTCTTTACATTTTCCCTTCAGGATTCTAAGTTAGCACTTGCGTCGTGATGAAGTTTGATGATTTCCGCAGTGTATGTCCTATCCACTTCCAACGTCTTTCCCTAATTTTCTCTTCAACTGGTATTTGGTTTGTTCTCACCCACAGTAGGCTACTGCTGATGGTATCCGGACAATGGATGTTGAGTATCCTGCGTAGATAGCTATTTATAGTTACTTGTACCTTCTTGATGATGGTTGTAGTAGTTCTCCACGTTGCAGCTCCGTATGGTAGAACTGTCTTGACGTTCTGTTGAAGATTCTGGCTTTGATATTGGTTGAAAGTTGTTTTGAGTTCCATATGTTCTCCAATTGTTGGAATGTTGTCCTTGCTTTGCCAAACCTCGCTTTTACGTCTGTACCTGGTCCTCCTCGTTTATCGATGATGCAGCCCAGGTACGTGAAATATCCCACATCTTCCAGAGTTTCGCCATCAAGTGTGATTGGGTTGGTGTTCTCCGTGTTGTATTTGAAGATCTTGCTTTTTCGTTTGTGTATGTTGAGGCCTACTAATGCAGAGACTGCTGCCACACTAATCGTCTTCATCTGCATTCGCTCGTGCGTATGGAATGGGAAGGCTAGGTGATCTGCGAAGTTCAAACCGTCTAATTGGTTCTGAGCTGTCCATTGTATTCCGTGCTTCTCCTGAGATATGGAGGTCTTCATAATCCAGTCAACCACCAGAAGAAAGAAGAAGGGAGAGAGTAGACAGCCTTGTCTGACTCCAGTCCTCACTTCGAATTCATCTGTCAGCTGTTCTCCATGCACGACATTGCAGTGTAGTCAGTCGTGTGAATTCCGTATGACGTTGACGAATTTCTCAGGTACTCCATAGTGTTGAAAAAGTTTCCATAATCCTCTCTTGTTGACACTGTCAAATGCCTCATAGTCAATGAAGTTGATGTATAGTGACGAGTTCCATTCGCTTGATTGTTCAACGCTGATCCGTAGTGTCACAATTTGGTCTGTGCATGTCGGATCCTTACGGAATCTGGTCTATTGATCTCGTATTTGGGTGTCTACTGAGTTATTCATCCGGTTCAGAAATACTGTTGAATACGTTTCCTTGTACTGATAGTAGTGTGATGCCTCTGTAGTTCTCACAATTGCTCAGATCTTCTTTCTTTGGTATGTTGATGAGGTGTCCTTTTTTCAGTCCATCGGCATTCGTTCCTCCTCTCAAATCTTCTTGAATAGAAGGTGAAGCATGTTTGTAGTTACTTCGATGTCTGACTTCAGTGCTTCAGCTGGTATATTTTCTGGCTCTGTTGTCTTCCCGCTCTTTATTTGTCTGATTTCTTCGATCGTTGGTGGAGTGACATCTATAGGAAGGTTTGCTTGTACTGCTTCGATGTCCAATGAGTTCAGCGTGGCTGACATATTTGAGAATCCTTCAAAGTATTCTACCCACCTCTTTCCTTGAATCTCAGTGAGTGTCTTGCCTTCCAGTCTCTCTGGTTCACTATATTTCCTTGCCAGGTTTTCCGTCGTGTCATATAGTCGTCTCATATTTCCTTTTCTTGGAGCTGTTTCCGCTGTCGTTTCTAAGTCTTCCACATATTTCTGCTTGTCAGCTCTAATCCTCTTCTTCATTATCTTGTTTGCTTCAGTGTATTCAGCTTGTGCCTTGACTTTCTCTGCTCGTGTTCAGCTGTTGTTGATTGCTGTCTTGTTCTTCCTTCCTTGAATCTTGTCCAGGTTTTCCATAGAGGTTCATTCCTTATGATGATGCTTCTTGAGGCCCAGCTCCTCCTGACACGTTGAGTTTAGTGCTCCTTTGATCCCTCCTCAGTTGTCCTCCATCGTAGCATCTTTCAGTATATCTTGTGAGGCTTACAACCTCTTGTTGAGTTATCTTGAATTGGTTGGTTTTGTTAGTATCTCGAAGGAAGGCTGTATTGAAATTTTGTACTGCTGTTTTCCCAGTTGCGCAGTGTGTCTTTAGCTTCAGTTTCATCTCGGCCACAATCAGGTGATGATCTGGTTCTCTCGTCTTTTTGAGTGATACAAATATGATTTATCTGGTCAATATCATGCATATAGTCTTTTTTGGCGTTTTTTAACCTTCCTAAAAACCTTAAGAAGGACTTGACATACATGATATTAGCCATTACTCAGTGATTAGCTAACTGTGAACCGGTATTCTTTTGCACCAGGTGTTTGGTTGCCTATAACTAAACGAACTTTTTCAAAAAGATTCCGTTATTTTGACTTTTTTGGTCATGTTCTGTTTTGAAGTGTAGAGATTTTAGCTTATGCAGCTTCAAATTGTTCCATTCAGATGGCTAACCAATTTGTAACGTAAAAGCCTTACACTAAGTCACCAATATTATTGTTTTGAAATTGAATCACTGTGATATTTATCGAGAATATTTACGGTTTGTTTTAGAATGAACAACTGTTCAACGAGGCTGCAGAAGAATATACACGGACAGTTGAGCGTTTAGAAAACAAGTACATGTAAGTTGTGTAAATGTAATACAGTGTGTAACACTTATTCATCAAAATAATTCTGTCGAAATCTGTGATTTATTACTTATTTGTATGGATTGAGACTTTGCCAGAAGTCTTGAATTTTTCCACTGATATTTCAAAACTTTCGAGATTTCTTTATCTAAAAAATGTTTTCCTTGTTATCATTATGAGATAATAGGAAGTGTTGAGTTGGGTTGTATCTGATTGCACAGATTTATTTTTGGGATAAAGACGTGTCGGTAAAGTTATGCTTCTATATGTTGACAGCCCATTGAAACTGTACAAGTATTTATCGTATGTCTGTGGGATAATCTTAATTTTTCACCAACTGCTGTGTCAGGCAAGGCTGTTTATTCTCCACCTTTCTCATTCTTCTGATGGTTGACTGAATTATGAAGACCTCCACATCTCAGGAGAAGCACGGAATATAGACAGCTTGGATTTCGCAGATGATCTGGTTCTTCTATCATACCCAGCAACAAATCAAGTGAAGACAACTAGTGTGGCATCAGCAAGAGCCCACTGCGAAAGAGAAGAAACCAAATACCCGTTGAAGAGAAAATTAGGGAAAGACGTTGGAAGTGGATAGGACATACACTGCGGAAATCATCAAACTTCATCACGACGCAAGTGCTAACTTAGAATCCTGAAGGGAAAATATAAAGAGGAAGGCCAAAGAACATATCGCGTCGGGAATTTGAGGCAGACATCAAAAGAGAATATAGCAACTGGAAAAGATTATCCAGGATGGAGTTCGATGGTGAATGCTAGTGGGCAGCCTATGTTCTTCCACAATAGATAACAGGCGTAAGTTAGTGCGACACAAAACTCACTTATTCAACGTCATTTTGTTATGATATGCAGTATTTTTTTATCATCATTTTTTGAGGTCGTTCGTGACCACTGCTTGTTGCATGGCGTTATAAACTGTAGTTTTAATTTACTCCACATCCGGAAACTCCACCAGTATGATAGAATTTATATGTTTATTTACATCATATAACTCTATTTATAAAGAGTTTCGGAATTATCCACTTGCCTAACAACTTTAAACCTAAGTATCAAAGTGCTAATATTCGTTTCTAATTCCTGAAATCCGGTTAACCGGGTTGTATCATCGTTTTTCTTTTCATACCATTCTAAATAAGTATGTACATAGTTCACGAGTTGCATATTTACATTTATTGTCTACTTCGATGGTTTACATGTGTACACTTTGATTGACATCCAAAGCGAAGTGGCAATATATTCTCATTTAAACTATTCACATGAAATGAATTGTTTGCATAATGGTAAAACAACATACATCTTTCAATGCTTGGTTTTAGAATAATTTTTGTTCTTTATTGTAGGAGGCCTACTCCTGGGGGGTGTTGTGCTGCAGCTGAACAAAGAGTCGAAGATTGTTATAAACAGAATCCTGGAAAAATACTTTTGTGTTCCAAACTTGTTTCAGAGTATGATCGTTGTGTACAAAATTTCCTTGTCGTAAGTGATACTTACCTAAACAACCTTGTTAGTTCCAAGTTTTGTTGTTTTATAAGTATTGATATAATCTAATTTACAAAGGTTAGATATAAATCTATGTTACGCCATTTATGTTTCTTGAAGTTTAACGAACTTGCGATATGTATGTGTGGCGGCCGTAGCTACTAATAACTTAAACACTGATCTTTAGTCATTCTGATAACGAATGTTAAACAAGATGAATTATGGATCTCAAGATATTTTGTTGGCTGCCGCCAAATAAGTCCGAAAGGTAACTTAGAATTTCATCATCAGTGTTCCCCAGATCCTCAAATTACAGCATTTAATGGATTCAGGAAAATTGTACATATCGGTTACGAGATCACATGTTAATTTAAATAGCATCCTAGGAAAGTGTAAAAATGTTATGTATTAGAATCATTACAATCTGCAATAATGCAGAGCGAAGAAACAAGTAGAAACGCAAAAAAGAAATTCAGAGGAAAATAATGTCCATACGTATCGTTTCGATAAATAGTTAGCCGTATTCCCCAGATCTTTTAAATACTGACTTCTTTCGTTGTGATAACCCTACCTAGTGTTATCACTTTTCTATACGATTGGTATCACAATTTCCTCTGTCAACCAGTATAAGCTTTCAGCTGAGTTTTACCACAGTTGGTCCAGGTTTTCCACTTTATAAACTTTTTGTCTGACAGCCTCAATCCACTAGCTACGAGTAATGGTTTCAAGACACCTATATTCTAGCTTTCTTTTTCATAATTGCCAGCTTCAACGCCTACGTTTTGTAGTTGTGAAATAAGATGAAGTGGTTTGAACAAATACTTTTACGACAAAAAACACTGCCGTAACCTGCTAATTTGATATGCAGTAAGTAGCAAGTGCTAGTTTTTATTCTCAATATAAACACAAAAACTAAAATACAGGTAAGCAAAATACATTTTAGAGTGATGAATAGGACGAGAGGGAATTAGGTTTTAATATAATAGAGTTAACTCATCCACCACGTTCTTGGGCATGAACCACACTAAGTATGAGGGCTGATGATACTTTCCGGTTGTCTAAACCGAAATCGATGGAGGGAAGTTCGAACTTGGAACTTATTGGCTATATGCCGAATACTTTAACCATCAAGCCCTTCCCCACCAATAGATAAGTAACGTCATGATACGAATTACCTACTTTTTTGTCACTCATTTTTAGGTGTAAATTGTAATAATACAAAGTGTAATTATCTTTCTCTACTTTTTTTAGACTATGTCTAGGAAAGTGTCAAATGCTGCCTGAAACTAATACAATACCACTATATATTTTATGGATTCCTATTCTAAAAATATATTCTATAATTGTCTTACACATATTGTAGCATGCCATTTTCAATTAAATGATTAGTAGTTGTAATGATTATCCTTGTACAAATCAAATCATACTTTATATGTAGTGTTATTTGACATTTGTTTCAATTTAATGTTGAATATCTAAACACAAGCCAAAACTACCTTAATTTTCAGCTAAACAGGAGAACGAAACACTGTGGTTTATATTTATGTTAACTGTGATCATATTAGATTAAGATGTAGTTCTATTCAGTTGTGATCATTCACTAAATATAACATCTTGAACACACATGTTAGTGACTGACAGTCCATACAAAACTGATAAGGTATAGCACATAATTTATGAATCTGTCTTTTAATTTGACCAATCCTTCCACTCGCTAGGTCGTTCTCAAAGTGGTTTGATCGTTACTTGAGTGAATATTTTGTACAGATGTTTACCAGTTTGTACATAATAACATTCCAATATTTGATTGATCTAATAGTTTTGAAATGAAGAGATATACATATTTATCAGTCTTTGTCATAACATTGGTTGAGGATTTCGTTTATATTTATAAGTTATGTGAATAACACTGATACAAGAATTATGCTATCAGTTTGTCGTAATTCACTTTCTGTCGAACAATAAATGGTTTGTAGATGTTAATAAACGTTCCTCATAACATGGTCTTTCACTCTGACTTTAAAGATTTATATACTAACACTACTCAGCAGATAAAACTGTATGTAAATTCTTGTTTCTATATCACAGCTTCGTATTAATGAATGGCTTCTTAGCCTTTATATCAGCAAGATTATGGGAAACCAGGAAGGGGATTAAGTGATATTCATAATAGTGGTGAAAATATGATAAAGCGAAAGATACGGAAATCGAGTGAAATAGGTTTTCGAATACACCAAGCATTCCAATGTTCACGATCATATCAGAACCAATAGTATTGAGTCGTATATATCAAATTGAACAAATAATCTAGTACTTGGAAATAATTTGTGTGTGATATTTTATTATCTGTTAATAATCAGTTTGCTTATAAAATTGTTTCCTACCTTTAAAGAAAATGAAACTCAAATCTACGTATTTAGACTAACATTTTAATACATATATGATACAGCATAACATCCCTTACAAAAATCATTGGCTAAAGTTACAACAATTTTGATTGGTTTAGAAAGGTTAAAACGAATAAATCCAAGAGAAAGGTAATAGTAAAAACCAAAGCAAGTAAACGACTGTGAAGTGAAATATTTGTCAGTAATAATCTTTCTAGTTAAATCACCTAAACACTTCAATAATTAATTTCTACTCGCTCAGACACAAAATCAGTCTTCGCATTTCGGAAAGAAACATTAAGTAGATTCATGTTTGAATGATATTTTATTTATATTTCCTCAAATCAAACGTGATTTAAATTATATGTTCAGTGATGAACGAAAATTGTCTTCAGATTGGTTCTATTTTCATTTAGACTCGACTTACAGAAAAGGCTAAACATATATATGGGTTATGCTGGCGAAAAATTAAGCCTGATAGTTGGGTCTTATAAGCACATAAGCTGGTGATTAACTTGTAAAATCAGTATCCTACCTTTGATTATACTTCAGAAGACGTTTATTCATGTTTACTTTTGTAGTGGTATATTGTCTTACTATTTGTGCAGTCTTTTGGAAGAGATAATAATTTGGTCTCCTCAACAGTTAACAACTGACTGCGCTGAAACATTGTACAGTCTACTGGTATATGTGCCATGCATTGCGGACTGACTACACAACTATTGTAGTGCTAGACATATGTTTCGTCCCAGTAGGAAGCGTCCTAACATAACTTAACCATGGTTTCGTCAAAGACCAAACCCATAGTCTTTGGGCTTAGCGACAAACTCTACTTTCAAATCACTAAGCCGACATCCGACTACTTCAATTTCTAAACATTAGCCAACAGGATATGAAGCGACAGTCAACTAGTATGATCGGTGATATTTATTTCATCCTCCAACATAGTTGAATTCCACTTATCATAAGTTTTCCCCAGAAATCCTTCTGGAAGTTAGTTACCGGTTAGCAAAATTATTGTTGAAATGCAAGGTTGTGAAGACTATTCAAGTTAAATATAGATAACATTGTACGTTGATTGTTACAAGTTTTTTTCCAACCAAAAGTAGTCTATGGTGTATACTCACCACCTAGAATATTAATGAAAAGTTCTAACACAAACCAAATTATTCAGTAACTACCCATCGCTGAAAGAATAAAAAAGAAAATATGACACTGATAAAAAAATATCCTCCACATTCAACATTTATTGGCTATATTGTATTTGCGTTACTTTCCATTAATTAAAGAGGAAATAAAGCAACAAGAAACAGCCATGTGCGGTTAATCCATCTAAATATAGGGATATTAATGTAAATTTCAATCGTTATATGTTCATTCCAAATAAAAATAGAATATGCCAAGTCATTTGTCTAAATGAGAAAAAGAGAATGAAAAACTAGAAAAAACTCCGAGTGGTTTTCTATGTAAATGAATCATAATAGACTCTTTGTCGGAAAAAAAGAAAGAGGAAGTATTTGAATTCTATTTCTCACTGTGATGTTTTGTTTCTGTGTAATGTTCACAAAGATCAAATCAGAATGGTGCATATTTTAATAAATAGTCAATAATTTGTCGTGATTTATGCTCGTTACTATCAGTAATATATATTTATATATATCTGCAGAGGTATATGTATGTTAATATGCTTATGTACAAAAGAATAAGGAAGTAGATAAGTGTTAAACTAATCAACAATTGACAGTGACACATCATTATTATCACTAAGGTTTTGTAAAAATATCACAGCGGTACTAATTATATGAGTAGTGTACAACAACAAATAACATATTAAAATAGTATAGATAAAGATAAATATATTACTTAACATTTGTGATAGTTCCCATCTTCAGTTGACTTTTTGGCTATTTTCTGCTCAGCAAGCCTAAATTTGTGTGGGAGTAAAAGGTTTTTGACGATAATCAAAACTAATCTAACAAATAATATTCAGAGATCTTATTGTGTATTCCTTTTGTCTTTGTTGTTCTTCTATGTGAAGTACTAATCAACATAGTTCTACTGGATGTGATTCCATGAAAGCTATTGGTGCAAAATTAGTCGTTGGTACATTCATTGATTTTGTTCTGTATAGATTATTACGTGGAAGCTGATAATCAGACATAGTATGAGCACGATGTAATGTTAAATTTGGCACAGTAGTTGATTTACTTCTTCTTTGTGGGGAAGTCTGATTTGATATTCATAATAATAAACGGATAAATAACATAAAAAATCATCCACTAAGTCAGTATTTTCATTTGGATGTAAAATAATCTTGATTTTTGTTACAAAATGATACTAACTGAAGGTAAATTGGAAACTAGAGGACACATGTTACGTTTAATCTTAGTTTAGGATCCATAACCGTCGTATATCCATACTCCGAGGAAATGGTCTCTACAAACCTAACTTCATGAAGTATATGGTGACGAGATTATCCATATTGAAATTCGCTACACATTATAGTGATGAACGTGACCATAAACAGAACGGGTCATTGGTCACTTTGTATAATCATTATTTTTATACTTAGTTTATCAGTTGTTATCTGACAATATTCAATCCTACGACATGTTGACATTTAATCAGTCCAGAGACAGTAATTTGTTATAGCAGTATAAGTATATCCTACATCAATCACCTTATCAGAATTAATATTAGCAAGTCTAGATCATTAGTAGTTTTAACAGAAAGCAAAGTTTGTTCAAAATATTAAGTCGATTATTAGATCTACATACACGGATTAATAACAAATGCTATCAGTTTCATTTTGTCAGATAAATCACTAGTTTATTTTAACTTATATGACTTGCTTGGTATCTGGTAAATACTATAAGAAAAATTTAATGTCTGGAGTTTACTCCTCGATTATGAATAATGTAACAGGAAAATTTTATTAACTGTGTTGACACTACTAATAGCTAATCAACACTAAATATAATGCCAAGTAAATTAGTTTAAATACCGTTTTTCAAACGTTAATGCCTTGATTTTCTTTTATCAAATATTGATAAGTGATTGTTAGCTAGCGCATCCAGGTCGGTTACTCTACGTAGTGTAGTCTGATAACAAATTAATTACACCTTACCTATCTCCATAGCTTGCGGTGTTCAATCATAAAGAATTGAGTCCAATGAATATAACTCAGAATGATGGTGAAATAGAAAATTTTCAGTATTTTGCGATTGGAAGTAGCTCACAGTAAACTCTGAACATAATTTTCGTGTATTCAACAGCATTATGCACCCACAACCTTGCGGGAACTGATGCTTCAAGTGAAACTCGGACTCAAGTCTTCGAGCTTCACATTCTGAAAGGCTACCACTGAATTATTTTGATGATAACTGACTGAATACCCATTTACAGATATAAGACTTAGCACAATGATATATCATTTTACAACAATAAAGTATTATGAATCAATAATAAAAAAATTTAGCTTTTTTACTAACAGTAATTTCTCCGTGTATTTAATCATAACGCATAAATAACATTGCATTGTCTCAATCAATAATTGTCAGGCTTAAATGTTTTAGTGAAATATTCAACTTCATCTAAGTAAGAGGCGTTTCATAAGAAAAGATCCAAACTTCGTAAATATGTCTAGCAATTACGATGATTAATCAAGTACAATCACTAAAATGTTAGTCGACAGTCCATGTAAATTTCGAATCTGCTAAACACTTAAAATATTCAAGCTTTTATATAAAAATCATATTATTTAAAAATTATCGGTAGATTAAAAGATTGATAGTATAGAAATAACAAAACTCAATTAAACATGTATATAAATAACTAACTGTCTTCCTTTTTTCAACTTACTGTCCCATATTTTAATCGAACACGTAGTCTATGTTC